GTAATGGGTAAGATGAAAGTGGGCCAGGCGCGGTGGCTCATGCCTGTAATCCCAGCACTTTGGGAGGCCGAGTGGATCATGAAGTCAGGAGATCGAGATGATCCTGGCTGACATGGTGAAACCCCGTCTTTACTAAAAATACAAAAATATTAGCCGGGTGTGGTGGCGGGCACCTGTAGTCTCAGCTACTCAGGAAACTGAGGCAGGAGAATTGCTTGAACCCAGGAGGCGAAGGTTGCAGTGAGCCGAGATTGCGCCACCGTGGTCCAGCCTGGGTGACAGAACGAGACTCCATCTCAAAAGAAAAAAAAAAAAAAAAGTCAGAAACCCTACAGGGGAGTTGTAGGCAGCTCCTCGCATCTTCCCTTCCCCTAAAAGCATCTTCTTTTCACTTCACTTTAATACACAGCTGGTAATTCCACTAAATGGACAGTTATTGTTGTTTTTGAAAAATGTAAATCCCTTGGAGCATTAAGGACTTTTAGGGGCTCACACACATTAGTACAAACTTGTGTAAAATACTTTCCCTTTAACAGCTAACTGAGACTGACTGCCCTGAAGGAATAGCAGTTTTGACTGGCAGGGAATAGAAAGGTCATTGAGAAGCATGGAGCCCTTTTGGGGTAATGGCAGACCAGAGATAAGATCCTGGAAGAATTAAAACAATACGATGTCACTGAGCTCATAGGTGCCAGGAAACATGGCATTATAAGGTAGACAAAGATGTAGAGAAAGAGTGGAGAGATGCCAAAGAAAGGTTTTGCCCATTCTCAAATTTTACTTGGGGTTGGCACTATACCCAAAGCAGCAGAAGAAAAGTCTCTCCCTCCCCCTCCTCACTATGGGATCTCTTCATTTCACAAATAGTTTTGGAATGGCTTCTGTTTCAACTGCCACTGCTGTTCCAACTGCCACTGCTGTTGTTACTACTTACCATTTATTGAACACTTGCTATGTTGCCAGCTTTATGATTACACTGGTGTGACAATGTCAAATAGGACACTGTCCCTGCCGCTAGAAGAACTGACAGCCCAGTTGTACAACTTAGCAAATACTATTATTATAGAATGGCGTCTAAATCAGATAGGGTAGATCCTTGCTTTAGGAAACAGACTTCTGATTTCTACTGTTAGTTCTATAATTCACATAGTGAACTAATAGTAGCTAATACTAGTGCCTACTATATGCCAGGTACAGTTTTAAGTGCCATTAACACAGCATCCTTATAACAGCCCTATGACGTAGGTACAACGACTATAGCTTCATTTTACTGAGGAAAAAACTGAGGCTTGGAGAGGTTAAGTAGCTTTCTCAAGGTCACACAGAACCTGCAGGCAGCCAAGGTGGGATCTGATTCCAGGCCTCTGGCCTTATGTACTTAAATACCTCCCTATAATACAAGTTTAAGCTAACTTTCCAGAAAATATAATCATAATTTATAATTTATTTCTATGTTAAAGTAAATTTTGAGTCCTAATATGGTTTGGCTGTGTCCCCACCCAAATCTCACCTTGAATTGTAATGATCCTCAGGTGTCAAGGGTGGGGCCAGGTGGAGATAATTGAATCATGAGGGCAGATGCCCCATACTGTTCTCATGGTCGTGAATAAGTCTCATGTGATCTGATGGTTTTATAAATGGAAGTTCCATTTATAAATGGAAGTGCACAAGCTCTCTTGCCTGCCGCCATGTAAGCCATGCCTTCGCTTCTCCTTTGCCTTCTGCCTTGATTGTTAGGCCTCCCTAGCCACAGGGAACTGTGAGTCCATGAAACCTCTTTCCTTTATAAATTACCCAGTCTTGGGTATGTCTTTATCAGCAGCATGAGAACAGACCAATACAAGTTCCAAACTTCTGACTAGAGGAAATTTTCAAAACATATGTTATAAGTGAGGAAACTGCCTGCGATCCCCTTGGACTATAAGAGAACAGCAAGCATTAGCGAAAAGCAGTGTATGGGACATTTTAAGTTCTGTGTAAAAGGCACTAGAATGTTAATTACCACATTATAAGTTTGGGGATCCTAATTTGGGGAAGGTTGATTGTTCTGATATGCAGCTTTTATCTTCTTAATTTATACGGGTAACAAAATTAATCAGTTAAGGCTGCTTTAAAAAGCAAGCAAATGCATTTATAGGAGAACTTCTACTTTTTTTTTTTTTTTTTTTTTTTGAGACTGGAGTCTCGCTCTTGTGCTCTTGTCGCCCAGGCTGGAGTGCAGTGGCACGATCTTGGCTCACCACAACCTCCGCCTCCCGGTTTCAAGCAATTCTTCTGCCTCAGCCTCTGCACTGGGATTACAGGCGCCTGCCACCACGCCCAGCTAATTTTTGCACTTTTTTTTTTTAGTAGAGATGGAGTTTCGCCATGTTGACCAGGCTGGTTTTAACTCCTCACCTCAGGTGATCCACCCACCTCGGCCTCCCAAAGTGCTGGGATTACAGGTGTAAGCCACTGCGCCTGGCCAAGAACTTCTGCTCTCAAGGAGGGGGAAGAAATGTACACTGTTAGGAACACTTTACCTGTTTCTGTGCTCTTGTTACCTTCAGAAAATTGCTAAGTCTAACTTCTACACTGTGTCTAATAAGAAGACACTGTTGAGCAGGAATTCTTACAGATAACCATATTTATATTTTAAAATCTTTTTCATACATTGAAGTGTTTGCTTTTCATGCCTGTTTTTTTTCTTCATGGTTTCTCCTATTCCTTTTGAGATCAGAAAGTTCTCCTCTGTTATGGGCTGAATTGTGTCCTGCCAGAATTCACATGTTGAAGTCCTAATCCCCAGTACCTCAGAATGTGCCAGTATTTGGAGATGGGAGTCTTTAAAGAGGTAATTAAGTAAAATGAGGTGATCAGGTTGGGCCCTAATTCTATATGAGTGCTGTCCTTATAAGAAGAGGCGATCAAGACACAGGCACAGAAGGAAGACCATGTGAAGAGAGGGAGATGGCCATCTACAAACCACAAAGGGAGGCCTCAAAAGAAACCAACCCTGTGAACACTTTGAACTCAGACTTCTAGTCTCCAGAAATTGTGAGAAATTAAGTATCTGTTGTTTAAGCCACCCAGTCTTTGGTACTTTGTTTTGGCAGCCCCAGGACACTAAGGCATTGTGTAAGAGTAAACCTTGGTGACTCCAGCATTGGTATAGAGCTTCTATCCATAGTCCTCTAAGGCAGCAGTTTATAAACATATTAATGTAATTATAAAGAAACTACAATCTTAATAATTCATCCAACAAACATTTATTTAGCTTGTCCTGCATATCAGATACTGAGCTAAATAGCAAGGACAAAAAGATGAGCCCCTAAGTAGCTCAAAATACATAAGATCCCACATCACCCTCAAGGGATTCATAGTTTAGAGGAAACTGGCACATACAGAGTGAATTTCAGTATTGTGTGATCACTGGTAAGACTGTGGTATACATAGTGTGGGTAAGGACCACAGCCTGTGGGAAATCCACTGGGACCCAAGAGGGCTGTCACACTGGAGGCCACAGCTAACCTAGTTCTCTAAGGAAAAGTCAAAGTGTGGCAAATGAGTGAGGAGAGACATTTCAATGACAAGAATGCCATAGACAAACGCAGAGAAATGGGAAAGTATCTAGCATGTCAGTTGATGACTGAGAGTTTGGGGTAACTGCAGTTAGAATGTGTATGAAAGAACGTGGGAGGAGAGATTGAAAATTTGGATTTTAACCTGAAAGTAGTGGGAAGCCACCAGAGATTTTTACAGAGAAAAGTCGTGATCAGATTTTGCTTTCAGCATGGTCTTTCCAGTAATACAAAGAATGAAACAGTATGGGGAGAGGTGGGCTGCAGAAAGGCTGGATAGCAAGGAGAAGCAGGGGAGCCTGAATTGAGGCGGAGGTACCAGGTGGAGAAGGGCAGTCCTGCTTTAGAGATATTCCAGAGGTGAAATTGAATAGGTCTGCTAACCTACATTGTGAAAATGTTAACAATTGCTTATGTACTACCAACTGAAAAGCACTTCCAAGCATAACACACTATGCAATATTTACTTGTTTTTCCTGTATTAGATGTATAAATATGATTGCTTCTTTCAACATATAGACTTGCCAATTTAATACACAATATTTTACTTACTTTTTAAGAATTAAATTCAAAGAAGCCACATTTTCTTGTGTTTTGCTTAAATTTGGGAAGAACCGTTCCTCTAAAAAGTACAGTATAATTGGATATAGTTAAATAAATTTTATCTCATCAGAGCGTGTCTAGTATTTTTGTGATTTTTCCAAGTTGGACTTGCTGGAAAGCCGTCTATTTGAAGCAAGAGAAAGTCTGGGAGAACACACTCTTCCGGATCTAATCTAAGTTTTCTCACTACCCACCTATCATAAGTACTTTTTTCAGTCTCTCTAGGCCAAGGGTTTCTTATTCATAAAAGGACCAATAGACTCCTTGATTCCTAAGATTCCTGCTAAGATTCTGTAACTCTTTCCTCCCAAAAGAATGACTGGTCTTGAATTCCAAAATGCAATTTTTCTGCGTGTGTTTTAAAAAGAAGACTGCATTTCGCTGAAAAATCTTCCTTGGAAAGTATATAAATCTTATTAGATGCTTTTGAGATTCATTAAAAGAACCGAAGCATCAGGCACGTTTAAAACATTACCAGGCTGGATGGAGTACGAAGGCACTGAGGGGAATGTACTTAAACCTCCGTAGGTTCAACCAAGTCTCACTGGGCGTAGCACAACGACCAAGTGATGCTTTTTGAAACAAATTTGGGGAGTTGGCTGCAGGAAAATTAACAAGCCAGTGGATTTCCTTTCCCCTTCCTTAGAAACTTGTTTCTGTAGATGCAAAAAGGGTCCTAGATCCTCTGGAAGAGAAAGAGGCGAGTGGGGAGGGGAAGTTTCTCTGCTTTCTTTACTCCCCACCTGCGGTCTGTCTGATTTCCTCTCCAGCTCTGTCTGATAAGGAATTGATTCTCCCCCTCCTCTTCCCCCTCCCGCCCTCCCTCTCCTTCTCCCTGAGTAACGATGCTGTCCTAGCAAGTGATGCTGTCGGAGACAGGAGACAGGCGCCGAGGAGGCATCGCCGCCGCCGCGGGGCTGGAGAGCCTCTCCCAGCACCAGCGCCCCGCTCGGCCCCGGGCTTCCTCGTCGCAGCCACGGCCGCGGCGGTTGCTCCCACGTTTTGATGGTGGGCGGCGGCAGCTCGGCTTCGGCGCCAGCCTCTAACTGCTCGATCGCTGGCCGCACCGCTCTCCGCTCCTGCCTTCCCGCCCTGGGGCCGCGGAAGCCGCGGGAAGTGGGGAAGGGGCGCCCCGGGAAGACCGCACGGCCGCGAAGGTGGAGGAGGCCGGCAGCCGGTACCCCCAGACCCGGACCGCAGCCGGCGCGATGTCCACCAAGGTCAGGAAGTGCAAGGAGCAAGCAAGGGTGACCTTCCCCGCGCCGGAGGAGGAGGAAGACGAGGGCGAGGACGAGGGCGCGGAGCCGCAGCGCCGCCGCCGGGGCTGGAGGGGCGTCAACGGGGGGCTCGAGCCGCGCTCGGCGCCCTCGCAGCGGGAGTCGCACGGCTACTGCCCGCCGCCCTTCTCCCACGGGCCGGACCTGTGAGTACCGGGCCCGGCCGCGGCCCGCGCCTCGGAGGGCGGTGCCGGGCGGGGGGCGGGAAAGCGCGCGCCGGGCGGCTCCACGACGTGCCCGGGACCTCCAAGACCCACATGGTACGGCCGGGCAGTTCGATTCGGGGTGATTTGGAGGGGACAGACCTCGGCCGGAGGCTCGCCCCCTCGGTCCCGCGCGGTGGAGGGACTCAGGGGCCGCCGAGTGCGTGGCGGGGGCTCTGTCCCGGCTCAAGCGCACGGAACAGCCCGCAGGCGGGCACTCTGACTTCAGACAGGCATCCTGGAGAACAGCCACGCCCTGCCCTAGAGCCGAGGAGCTCGCAAGACTGCCGCCAGGGCTGGGCACCCCTTGGAAGACGGACCCCGGGGTACCGAGCTTACCTAGGGAGGCCGAGGAAGGTTAAAAGATGTGCACAGACCCAGGCGCGCACTTGAACCCCGAACTTCTCCCGGGCGTCCCAGCATGTAGCCACGCTGGGAACTTGGGTCCCCTCCGACGCTCTGGGACGTCGGGGGCGGGGGCAGAGAAGTGGGGAGTAGGGAGGGGACAGTGCGATACAGGGTGTGGGTTGAAGGTTTGTCCAGGCGCCTCGTCTGACTGTGTCAGGCACAGTTGGGGTGAAACTGGAACTGAAGCCCTATAGGGTTCCCTGAGAGAGGGAGTGGGCATCGGGCAGCCGGGGAACCGTTTTAGTGGTAACTTTGGCCGCGGTTCCCGGGCGGAGTGGCTCGCGCCCCGGCATGGGGGCTCTCTTTTTCTCTTTCTTTCTCCCCCTCTCTCTCTTTCTAAACGAAGGAGCGGTCGGCGCGCTAATGCATGAGAAAGAGCAACTTTTCTTAATTTCCAATCTTGGAGACAGCTTTTAATCAGTGCGAGACGCAGAGAAGATAAAAAGAGGGTGATCGGTTTCACAGGGTGAGATGCTCTGTATTTTTCCTGTCACGTACACTGGGAGTGCCGCAGGGCTTACTGTCTTTTTTAGGAAGAACGCTCAGAACTAGGTAGAGAACCTGGGGTCGGATGGTGGCGGGCGGCGCAGACCTGCTGAGCCGGGGAAGTGGTTCTCCAGGGTGAGGACAGAGGTTCTGCAGCGCCCCCTGCTGCCGGCGAGCGGCCCACCGCCCGAGGCCGAGACCTCCGGGTTGACCCCTGCACCCCATGATCGCGCGCTGCTTCGCCAGCGCGGAGTCTGCGCCTGGTCTGGCTGCACCTACCCGTAGAACACAGAACACAATCAATGGCTGGGAGTAGATCCCGCAGGGAAGAGTTCTGATTTTAAATGAGCGACTCATCCGGATATGGTTCAGTTATTGCTGAAGATAAGCGTGGAATGGAAACGGCCCAGGAAATGGAGGGAAGGTACATCCTTTGGGATTAAAGCGCCACCAGCTCACTTCCCCGTCTCCCTAAGGTTTTAAAACATTGTCCATTTTTCCTTTTGCCAAATTAGTTTTTATAACCTAGCTGTTTCTTGGTTCCTTTATAAAATTCTTCTTTTATAAAAACCTTAAATCCTTCCATTAGACACCTGAACTCTTATCTGAGGAAGTAGGGCGGAGCAGAGATTATTCACTTTGCTTCTGAAATTTGAGGTCAATTACACAAAGCCCTGGGGCAAATTCTATTGTAGACTTGCTGTCTCACTGCTAATAGAACATCTTTTGTATATGTTTGCTAACTTTACATAATTCAACAAGTAAATGTTGTGGTGTACTTATTTTGTAGAGGTCAAGAAGAAGACCCAGTCATTTTTAAGGAGATATACATTAAAAACTTTTCTCTAGAGGCGGGGCAGCAAGCTCTTCATGTTTCTTTCAGGCTTGTCACTTGGTAACATCAGAGACTAGCTTGGTCTCTGTAACAGAGATTAGCTGTTTATTCCACCTTTGAGGAGAATACGGCCACTGTTTAATAAACAGTGTTTATTGTTGTTTAAAAGTGAACACGACAGCCTTAGGATGGATTCCGAGAAGGATACCCAGGGTCATTTCAGTAGACAGAACAGCATAGCTGAATTTAAAATTCAGCAGGATGCTAAGGATACAATCCCACCTTTACCAAGATAATTTCTCAGGGTAATTCTGTTGCTGCTTTCACTGCTCCATGCTCCCCTATTCCATGTGGAAATTTTAAATAGACTGACTTGGTAGGAAAATTGTCACCTGCTGTATCACTAACAAGATTATTTTTACCTGTTGATAGAACTCTTGATTCAACCACTGATTCAAACCAAGACTTCCTTTATCCCAATTGGTTGCAAACCTAGGACCAAGTAATATGTCATTGTAGTGATGGCCTCATTTTTTAATAATGTTTCAGTTATTCAGTATATCTGATGAATTCCAAAAAAGGTATTGGAAGGCAGTTTTCATGAGTCTCAATTCAAGTGTTTCTCAAGCATGCATATTTGCAAAGTGTGGGCTAGGTACAGCAAGCCACAAAGATGAGCATGACAACTTTCCTGTGCTCAAGAATTTTAAAATCTCATGAGGGAGAGGTGGGAATGAGACTGGGCATGAGCAATTATGCTGTAAGTTATAGTAAAATCAGTTACGTTTGGAAAAAAAAAAAAACATACAAAGAGTTACAAAGGGTCAAGTGCAAAGAAGAGAAGGACAACGTTAGGTTGTGGGGAAATCAAGGAAAGAAACTTTTATGGGCCTTGAAGGATAGATAGGACAAGAAGCAGAGACAAGGTAAATACTTAAGTCCTCTCTTCCCCCAAAATGCCAGGCATGTCTAAGGAATGTAAGTTGGATTTGGATGGAACATAGATATGTATAGGGGAGCAGTGATATTTAGCTGGACATGTTGGTTTGAGCCATTAGTGTGGAGGATCCTGTATGCCAGAACGAGGCACTAGGGAGCCACTGATTGCTTTAAAGTAGCAGTAATTTAAGCAAATCCACTCTGAATTGAAGTGGCAATTAATAGAAAGTGAAGAGACAAATTAGGAGATGACTGTAACTCTCCAGGCTGAGATTAGGCTCTGTAATAGTGTAGTGTTGGTGGAATGGAAAGGGGAGAAATTGGGGGAAAAAAAAACCCAGCTAGAATCTATGAAATTTTGCAACTCACTATCCATGAGGGCTTTAAAGAGAAAGCAGGATCAGAGACAATTTAGTGATTTTTGACCCAGATAACCAAGATGGTTGATGCCATTGTTGATAAGAAAAAAGCAAAGGTGAGGATCTGATTTTTCAGATAATTCTTTTGTTGTTGTTGTTGTTGTTGTTGTTGTTGTTTTCTTTTTAAAGGAATAGTGAATGATCAGATATTTCTGATAGAGGTGTTAAGCAGGGAAAAGGAAATACAAGTTTAAAGCTGTCTGATGGGAATTGTTACACAGTTTTGTGACTACATGAGATTACTCAAAGGAGTGTGAAGAGAGAAAGGGAGTCCGAGCTAGATTTTGAGGGAAAAAAATTTTTGTTTAAAGGCAGGGAGAAAAAGCAGCAAGAAAAGAGAAACATCGATGCACACTTGGCAAAAACTGAAAAGATCAAGAGAAAAACTTATGACTCTACTGTTAGAAGAATCAGTCCTTGTACGTATTGGCATACATGCACAAAATCATTAGATTTTTCAGCAATGTTATCTTCAACAGAGAAAGATTTCTAGAAAAAAATTCTGTTTAGTTTTTCTTCAGAGGAAGTGCTGCCAAAAAGTAGTCACAATAAAAGCAGTTAGTTTGTGTTTATATACTACTTCATGCTGTCGTTTATACTCATTCACTTAAATCGCTCCTCTTTAAAGCAGTTTTTAAAAACATTGTTACTTAGCATATGAGGAAATTAGTACACAGAGATGTGATGTTCTAACGCTTCCCTGGCAAATCAATAATAGATCTTCTAATACTCACCTTTATATGATCAAGGAACCAAAAATGAATCTACAGTGCCTTGTAACTCAGATTACCTAAAACACTTTGTATGTTAGTTTCTGTGGCACTCACTGGTCTTGTATAAATGTTCCAGTCTTGGCTTAGTGTGTGCATTGGCTCAGGCATTAGACTGGAAGCAGCACTTCCTTCCCTCCCAACCTTGGAGGGAATCAGATTCTCCAAGTGATTGCTGAATCTTAGGGACAGGAGTCTGAACGTTGAGTCCAGACTGACTAGTGTTATTAAGAAAGAAGCAGCTTTCTTTACAGTTACAGTTTAATTTTTAAGAACAGCACACTTTGGCATTAGACTTAAGGAATTTATTTTTTTAATTTTTATTTATTTATTTATTTTGAGACAGAGTCTCACTCTGTCACCTAGGCTGGAGTGCAGTTGTGCGATCATAGCTCATTGCAGCCTCCAATCCTAGACTCAAGTGATCCTCACATCTTAGCCTCCCAAGTAGCTGGGACTACAGGCACACACTACCATAAATTTTGTAAAATTTTTCGTACAGATGAGGTCTCACTATGTTGCCCAGGCTGGTCTCTAACTCCTGAGCCCAAGTAATCCTCCTGCCTTTACCTCGCAAGTTGCTGTGATTATAGGCATGAACCACCACGCCACCCAGCCTTGAGACCTTTGATACTCTGAAACTTTCCTTTATATTATCAGTTGTATAACCTAGAGTAGCAATTGCACTATGTACAATGAGTCGTCATTTTTGTTGGTTTGTTTTAAATTATTTTATGTGGTATCAAAGTAATACACGAATATAGCTTTAAAAGTTAGATAGTGCTAAAAGACTTCTACAAACAACAGCAAGCCCCCAGCAATTTCCTGGTCCCCTCTCCTTTTCTGTGTACTCCACTTTCAACTTTTTCATATACTGATATCTTTTTATTCATATTTTAGATGTTATCAATAGTCTCAGGTGAGAATTTATGTTCACATGTATCTCTTATTCTCCCCCTATCTTCCACAAGATGGTTTATCACAACTTCTGGTTAATATCTTATTTAAGTTCTTCATTAATATGGCCATGTATGATCATTGTTCACTGCTAAGTCAAGTAGTATAGTATGACTACATTTATTTTATTTGATAATTGGTTGTTTTTCTTGGAGTAAATATTTGTCACATCGTGTCCTTGTTTCTTAGCTAAATCTTCTACAGTGTCTAACTGTGTATGTTTTCCTGAAGTTATGCCTTCTAGAGCCCTCTAACGTTCTTTGTATGAGGTCTTTCCCCACCCCCCCCCCGACCCCGCCCCGCTTCAGGAAGCTCTTAGAATTGTCTCTTCATTAGCTGTCTTCTGAAGATGTACCTTGGTATGGATGCTTTCTTCACCACCTGAGCTGGACACTGGGGTAACATTTTCCATCTGGACATTATGTCCTTTAGTTCTGGGAAGTTTTAGTTCTGAGAAGTTTTCCTAACCACCATTTTTATTCTTTGCTTTTTCTAGAATTTCTATTGTCTTGATGTTGGACCTCCTGACTGATCCCCTAGTTTTTGTATCTCTTCTCTTCTGTTTTCCAGTGCTTGCTTTTTGTGTTTTTTCTATTTCCTTGTCTCTATCCCCCAACTCTTTCACTGAATGTATTTCCATCTTAGTGATTATATTTTTAATTTCTAAGAGTTCTTTCTTGTCTTCTGAGTATTCTTTTTTGTAGCATTCTTTATTTCAGAGATCCAGGGTTTTTTCCCTAATGTTTCTCAGGGGAGAAGAGATTGGGAAATAATAAACCTGGCTGTTGGTATTGACGAACTGGGCAAGAGTCCCCCTGTTCCTAGTTCCTGCCCTCCCGTAGGCCTGGTATCCCCACGTCTAGAGCATTTCTGTTTCCGTATCTCCAGAGATTCCATATCCTATCTCTTATAGGGGTGCAGGAGGGTTGTCACTTAACCATATCAATTAGCAGGTGGGAATGTAGGGGGAGGGTTTCTATGTACTTGTTATACAGCCAATCCCCTCATTTTAGGTTCCAGCCTTATCTCTGCTTTCTGGAATTCTTTTTGCCTTCAATTTCTGGGCATTCTCTGGCATTGAGCTGGGTGGATCAGCTTGTTTTCTGTAACAGCCACTCCAGTTGAAACTGCTTTCTGTCCACTAAATGATTTACTATTCTAACAACTCATCTCTTTTCCACCGTTACATATTGTGGTTTGGAGTTACAGATGTCTCTAGGTTTCATGGAAGATGAAATTTGTGTTGCAGTTCCTTGCTCTCCTTGTTTAGGGAGGTAATTTTGAAAACGAGAAGTGGTGAGAAAGGCCTTTATTCCACCGTCTGGAGACTGAACATCTCTATGATTGTATGTTGTGTTTATTTAAGCCCTATCATTGGCAATATTATTTAACGTAACCAAGAATGGCAGAAGGAAGAACATTCTTACTCGTAACTGATCTTATTAGGCACATGGAGTAGATAGTAACTTACACTGTGTGGTAAGAAGGTCGTCTGAATTCCCCACCTAAAATCATCTTAGTACTACACTTCTGAAATTTAACAATATAGAATATTTTGAAGAATAATAGAATGTTTGAATTTGAAAGGATTTCATCTAGTCCAGTCTCTTATTTTACAAATTAAGAAACTGAAGCTGCTGGTTGACATCTGATTCACAGCAGCCCCAGGCCATCTGAAATCCCCAGCTTTCCGGGACTGTGCTGTTCGCACTGTGGCCTCCTTTGGTTAAGCATTTCTGTCTGCCTCAAAGAAATTTTAAAATGCATGTACTCCTGGGAGAAGCAATACAGGAAACTATTAATTAGTATTAATTTATTTATGAAATCCAATTAATTCATCATTTAAATTTGGCTGCTGATGGCAGATCAACTTGAGAAAGTTGGTAAGCTAAGTAGGAGGTCTAGGAATAAGGGGAAAGAGGAGAAAAGGTTATTGCGAAGCACAATTGACCCCCTGCCAAATATTATTTATGATTATCCCTTTTATTAATATTAGAGAGGTGAGAGGATCCCAGTCCAGCACTAGACCGTCTTCTGAGGACTGAGTTAGAATTTTAAGGATTTTTCATTATTGTGCTGGGATATAAAATGTGTCTGTTCTGCTGTCTCTCTCTCTTTCTCTTAAAGTTGTTATTAAACATTGAGCTTTTCCTTTGCCTACAATATCCCATAAGCCTTTACTCTCCCCCCCTCCCCCAGCGCCCCCCCCCCATTTATAATAGGCAATCAAACACCATGGGAAATGTAATGGGAGGAAGAAAACTTTACGGAGTTGCTGTGACCTTCCTAGCTCAGGATTGAGATATCCTGTTTCAGGGACGATGCTTAAGGAATGAAGAATGGCTGCTAGGCATTCTTCTAAGGAAGGGAGGCTCTTTGCTTGTCCAGAAGTCTTGCTTCTCAACCCTCTCCCCTGTACTGCCCTTGGAGTTGCATAACATCCACCCAGAAGGGGCGCCATATTAATGGGCTGTGCTGAGTGAACACATAGGAGTCTGGCCTGATACAGAGGGTCTGCAGATGTGGACTGGGATGGCTGACTTCACACTTATGCACGAGGGGCTCAGCAGTGACTTTGTGAGAATAATTAGGATTGTTATAGCATTTTGTGTTTAATTTAGCATTTAGGTCAGGTATATTTGTCTTCAATTATCTAGTTTAAAAAAAACCCTATTAAAAATACTATTTTCTTTGCACTGTTCAAATAATAGGTGATAATATGGATTTGGTCCTAGGTCCTTTTAAAAAATGAGAATTAAATGTCCACAAATGCGTGAACTTGTTAAGGAAAATGTGTGACTTGTTTTGACTTTAGATATGGATGATAATGATAGAAAACCAGATCCCTTTATTCTAATAACTATATATATATAATTGATAGTGACTAATGTATTTAAATATGAACTTCTCTCGGGTCAGTAGAAGTTCCTTAATTTTATTATCTGAGGTCATTTGTCTGAATTCTTGTTCAAGTATAGATTGAATTTATATAACTTTTAATTTCATTGTCACTGATCTTCCTGAAATAATAATAATTAGTTTTAAAAAGCATTGTGAAGATGAGTTTGAGTTTTAATTACTGATTATTAAAAGTTATTAATTTTAAGATTTATCTTCTGTTTGCCTCTAGATTATCCTGATAAAATATAACTATGTAAAATCAAAATCAAGAGATATAGAATACATCAAATACTTTTGTGGTGTAACCAAGAATTAAATGTTATTAAGCAGAAATTTGCTTTGAAAGAACGATTGTTGACATTACCTTTATTATTATTAATTTATATTATTCGTGACATTCTTTTTTTATAGATAAATCACTTCAATGCCCCTCCACCACTGCTTCTTCCACATATAATCATATGTGACCAAGGGTATTCTGTAATCTAGAGGGGGAAAATTGTCTGTTCCTTAGGTCTTCAGTGATGTGGTTTAAGTATGTGTGCATCTGTGCACCCATCCCTCCAATAGATCTCACCGTATACTAAAAGCCAAGCATATGGAGATGAAAAGAGGCAGCCTTTGCCTTTAAGAACATTTTAGCATCACTGGGGAGATAGGCATGAAGACAGACAATTGCAAAGCAATACAGTAGTTAGTTTAATGGGGAGTTATACACAAAACACAGTCCTAGAAGCATAAACATCTAAGTTCTAGAAGGCATTTGCTTGAATACTTTCTTGGGCACATACATTTAAGAAGTATTACCAAGAAGTCATGCAGGCAATGGCTAAGGGTCCTCACTTCTGCTCCAGTGTACTTTTAGAGGGAGCAATGGACTGTTAGGTATCTGTTTGCTTTTCTGGTTTTAGCTGCTGAGGAATCTGGCAAAGAGCTACTCATGCTTTCATGAAAAGACAGAGAGATAAAGCAATGGAGATAGACCAGGGTTCCTCTCCTTAAATACACAACAGCTTCTTGCTTCTGACAGTCATTAGGGCAAATGCCAAAATTATCATATGTCTAATAGATGTTTTTTAGGTTTTTTTTTTTTTTTTTTTTGAGACAAGGTCTCATTCTGTCACCCAGGCTGGAGTGCAGCGGCACAATCTTGACTCACTGCAACTTCCGACTCCCGGATTCAAGCCATTCTCGATTCTCGTGCCTCAGCCTCCCAAGTAGCTGGGACTACAGGCATGCACCACCACGCCCAGCTAATTTTTGTATTTTTAGTAGAGATGGGGTTTCACTGTGTTGCCCCAGTTGGTCTAGAACTTCTGGCTTCAAGTGATTCATCTGCCTCTACCCCCTAAAGTGCTGGGATTACAGGCATGAGCCACCATGCCTGGCCAAGATTTATTAAAATTATACATGAAGAATTCTGAATATAATGCAGGCCAACAGAAACTATCAGGGAATTCATTACTGTGGAGACCTAAATATCTCTCTGCGCTTATAAGTGCTGGA